ACACAAATGTGAAATAATCTCCCGCAACCCAGACATCACTGGGCAAATACAAAATGTTCTTCCAGACATTCTCGTTGTCGAGCCACCGGACTGCACTCTCCTGGGTGCCCCCATTGGCCCACGAGCAATCGAGGAGGTCCTGGCTGCAAAAATCACTGACTTAAAGAGAATGCTGGACAGGATTGACAAGATTGATGCCCATGATGCTCTCTTTCTCCTTACAAGATGCCTGTCTCTCCCTAAGTTGACCTACTTTCTGAGATGTTCTCCATCCTACAGCAGCCCTAAGTTAAATGTGTATGACACCCTTCTGAGGTCCATGCTGGTGAAAGTCCTGAACCTGCCATTGGACGACTCTCAGTGGGAGCAAGCAACCCTTCCTGTAAGACTCGGCGGCCTTGGTGTCCGCACAGCCTCCCAAATTGCTCTACCAGCCTTCCTTTCCTCCTCTCATGCATCGCACGACCTCATCAGAGATATTTTACCTGCAACCCTGAGAGATTCAGCAGGAATACACGATCCTGCTTTCACTGAATGTTCAAATCAGTGGGATGTTCTTGCAGCCCCAGCAACCATTATAGAGCCAACAAAACAACACAAACAGACCGGCTGGGACCACCCTCTAGTGGAAAAAGTAGCTGATGCCATGCTCAGCGCCGCAACATCAGACAAGGAGAAAGCCCGCCTCAGAGCAGTGCGTGCCCCCCATGCAGGAGACTTCCTCCTGGCAGTACCCATGTCAGCAATGGGCACGCGCCTAGATCCAGAATCCCTTCGTGTAGCAGTGGCCCTCCGCCTTGGTGCCCCAATTCACACTGAATACAAGTGTATTTGCAACAGGGTGGAAGCAGACCAATACGGACTGCATGGGTTGCATTGCGGAAGCACAAAGGGCTGGCATGCAAGACACAGCGAGGTCAATGACATCATCAAGAGAAGCCTCGTCTCAGCTGGGTGCCCAGCGGAGAGAGAACCTCGCATCCTAGGGGTCCAAAACCCGGATTTCCCCGCACTTCGCCCTGATGGCATTACCATATACTCATGGAAGGAGGGTAGACAGTTGGTGTGGGACTACACATGTGTATCCACCCTGGCTGACACCTATGTACACTTCGGAGCTGATCAAGCAGGTGGGGCGGCCAACCACAGGGAAACAGCTAAATCACTCAAGTTCAGGCGACTGGAAGGTCAATACCTCTTTGTTCCCATAGCGTCTGAGACGCATGGCCCATGGGGCAAGAGTGCCTTGGGATTTCTCAAGGAATTGGGTTCCAAGCTCATTGACGTCACCAGAGACCCAAGGGCTTCCAGTTTTTTGTTTCAGCGTCTCAGTGTGGCGATCCAGAGGGGAAATGCTTGCTGCGTCCTCGGTTCCTGTCCAGAAGCGGAGGAGCTTCAAGAGATCCATAACCTTTAGACATTTGTCTTGTATGTTTTGTAACCTTTAAATACACAATAAAGGAAAAAAAAAAAAAAAAAAAAAAAAAAAAAAAAAAAAAAAAAAAAAAAAAAAAAAAAAAAAAAAAAAAAAAAAAAAAAAAAAAAAAAAAAGGGAAGGGGGTGGTAGGAGAAAAGCACACAGAAACTGTATTGGAGGGGACCTACATTCCCTCCAATGCGTTATGTGTGGTTTCCTCCGAGGCTATGGGTCCCCCTTCTTCCAGCCAGAGGTGGTACTCCCTTCCCTATTTTTTAAATAAAAAAAATATATATATATATATATATATATATATATATATATATATATATATATATCACTAAGAACTCTTTGACCCGGCCAGGATTCGAACCCATGCCGTCCAGGATCACCCCTAAACGTACACAGTACCGTGACCACCGCACCAATGATCGTTTAGACGATCATTGGTGCGGTGGTCACGGTACTGTGTACGTTTAGGGGTGATCCTGGACGGCATGGGTTCGAATCCTGGCCGGGTCAAAGAGTTCATAGTGATATATGGCTTGCGCGTTCATGCAGCTTTCTCACATATATATATATATATATATATGTCATACCTAGTAGCCAGAACGCACTTCTCAGCCTACTATGCAAGGCCCGATTTGCCTAATAAGCCAAGTTTTCATGAATTAATTGTTTTTCGACTACCTAACCTAACCTAACTTTTTCGGCTACCTAACCTATAAAGATAGGTTAGGTTAGGTAGGGTTGGTTAGGTTCGGTTATATATCTACGTTAATTTTAACTCCAATAAAAAGAAATTGACGTCATACATAATGAAATGGGTAGCTTTATCATTTCATAAGAAAAAAATTAGAGAAAATATATTAATTCATGAAAACTTGGCTTATTAGGCAAATCGGGCCTTGCATAGTAGGCTGAGAAGTGCGTTCTGGCTACTAGGTACGACATATATATATATATATATATATATATATATATATATATATATATATATATATATATATATATATATATATATATATATATATATATAAAATGTGTGTGTGTGTAATTTATCAGTATAACCAGTTTGGTAAACAAAGACACTGGGGGGGGGGAGGAAATATTTGTTCGCTCTTGTCTAAAGAGCAATTCAATTCAATTTCTTTCTTTATTATGCACCCCATACCCATCCCGTGGGCGGTGGTGTAAAGGGTTACAGAGGCACATAATCGGTTCAGGAACTGAACCCTCTAGTTCGTTTAGCTAAGCAAATAACAATCTTTTGACGCTAGTTACAAAATTATTAATGTTATATATACATGTACACATTCTCATATATACATGTACATATATATACGCATACATATATACATACGTACATATTTTATTACCCACACAAATACACACATCAATAATCTTTTGTGTCACAAGTGATTCAACAAGAGGCTCACAACAGTCACTATACAAGGCACTTGACATTTATGGTGAGTCACACAGTTACTAGTCTTGCTCCACACCCACCCAACTGGGCGGCAGCTTTACAGTCATGTGCTCCACACCCACCCAACTGGGCGGCAGCTTTACAGTCATGTGCTCCACACCCACCCAACTGGGCGGCAGCTTTACAGTCATGTGCTCCACACCCACCCAACTGGGCGGCAGCTTTACAGTCATGTGCTGCACACCCACCCAACTGGGCGGCAGCTTTACAGTCATGTGCTCCACACCCACCCAACTGGGCGGCAGCTTTACAGTCATGTGCTCCACACCCACCCAACTGGGCGGCAGCTTTACAGTCATGTGCATGTATCACCTACGGTAAACAAATTTTGGATACTTGGCTAAGATTTCGGGCAGCACATCATTATGAATGAAGTACTTACACATTTCTTGGACACTATTGATAGAGAGCGATAATTAATTTACTCTGTCTGGGGACAGGAAGCCAGAGTGTATTCATATACGTTTGGCTTTTTTTTATCTATTTTTTTCCTTCCCTTCTACAATTCTGCCCGTTCTTCCTCCCCCAACACATTCCTACCTGTATTCTAACTTTCCTTCCATTCCTTTCCTATCCATACCTTCTCTCACGCTCTGACCCCTTATCTTGAGGTTATCTTGAGATGATTTCGGGGCTTTAGTGTCCCCGCGGCCCGGTCCTCGACCAGGCCTCCACCCCCAGGAAGCAGCCCGTGACAGCTGACTAACACCCAGGTACCTATTTTACTGTTAGGTAACAGGGGCATAGGGTGAAAGAAACTCTGCCCATTGTTTCTCGCCAGCGCCCGGGATCGATCCCGGGACCACAGGATCACAAGTCGAGCGTGCTGTCCGCTCGGCTGACCGGCTTCCTAATTTAACTTTCTCTCCCCTATCCTAACTTAACAACCCTTACACAAATCAACCTACCCTAACGTAACCTAATCTACCCTAGCCTTAGCTAACCTAACTTAAATGAACAAATCTACAAGGGCCGTGACGAGGGTTCGAACCCTCGTCACGGCCCTTGTGGATTTGTTCATTTGATGCATCACGCTATTGTGATTTCTGTGTGTAACCTAACTTAACCTATCTTAATCAAGCCTAGCCAACCTTAAAATAACGTAACCTCGCTTACCCTAACCTAACCTAACCTCTCCCCGAGGCCTAGTCGACGACCAGGCCGCGGGGACGCTAAACCCCGGAAGCACCTCACGGTCAGACCTATACCAAGCTAAATATTATGAATCTGCAGAAATACTATTTACGAAAAATCAACATAGCCATATACACAATTATACAAACACGTGTAACAAGTGAGTATAGGACGAGTTGAGAGTATTATTACACTCGCCAAATCTTGACATAGAGTTATATAAGCTTAACAGGTGCGAGTTTGAATAGGCAGGAGGAGGCAGGCTTATCCTGTGAGAGTGATAACACGGCTGGTGATTATACACTCGAAGGGTCGTTAATATAGATAAGGCGAGGGCACTGCCACCACACCAAGGTGTTGGAGGGTACGGAGGTAGTTGGTGGTGGTGGTGGTATAGGTGCAGGTGGTGGTAGAGGTGCAGGTGGTGGTAGAGGTGCGGGTGGTGGTAGAGGTCCGGGTGGTGGTAGAGGTGCGGGTGGTGGTAGAGGTGCGGGTGGTGGTAGAGGTGCGGGTGGTGGTAGAGGTCCGGGTGGTGGTAGAGGTGCAGGTGGTGGTAGAGGTGCGGGTGGTGGTACAGGCGCAGGTGGTAGAGGTGCGGGTGGTGGTAGAGGTGCAGGTGGTGGTAGAGCTGTGGGTGGTGGTAGAGGTGCGGGTGGTGGTAGAGGTCCGGGTGGTGGTAGAGGTGCAGGTGGTGGTAGAGGTGCGGGTGGTGGTAGAGGTGCGGGTGGTGGTAGAGGTGCAGGTGGTGATAGAGGTGCGGGTGGTTGTAGAGGTGCGGGTGGTGGTAGAGGTGCAGGTGGTGGTAGAGGTGCGGGTGGTGGTAGAGGTCCGGGTGGTGGTAGAGGTCCGGGTGGTGGTAGAGGTCCGGGTGGTGGTAGAGGTGCGGGTGGTGGTAGAGGTGCGGGTGGTGGTAGAGGTGCAGGTGGTGATAGAGGTGCGGGTGGTTGTAGAGGTGCGGGTGGTGGTAGAGGTGCGGGTGGTGGTAGAGGTGCGGGTGGTGGTAGAGGTGCAGGTGGTGATAGAGGTGCGGGTGGTGGTAGAGGTGCATGTGGCACAGGTACAGGTGTGTGTGTGTGAGTGTGTTGTCTACATGGGGAGTGTATGGGTGCCGCACCCCAGTAAGAGATACCGGTACCCGTCAGTGTGCAGCCCTCAGCACCAGAGGAGAGACGGCGGGTGTACCCTGTGGAGCCTGAGGGTGCGCGTGTGTTGGTCTGCGCATCACACCCTGTACATTCACCGCTCAACCTCTTACGGTGACCAGGTACGTCTTGCACCGCAGGCAGCGGACCGGAAGGTGCGATGTGTATCATCTTACAAGTAAACACATGCAACATTTGTAGAGATCTTGTTGCATACTTCATTTTCGGAGATATTGCAGTCAAGGCGACATGTACTACGGGAGTTGAAGCGCTTGTTGGGCGGCTGCACCTCCGATAGACTAAACGGAGGTACTCCTTGTGTGTTTGCTCCTGCAGGTGTGGAGGTGAAGGCGCTGCGAGTGGGTATAAGCAGGTGCGGCAGGAGGCGTGAGGATGAAGGTGGTGGCATGTGTGGTGAGGACCCTGTGGCCGCAGGAGTGGACAGGGAGGTGCAGGACGCTGCTGGTGTCTGCGGCGCTCCTAGCCAACGCTCGCAGAGTCCTCAAGCACATCAAGAGGAGACGACTCAGGTGACCTTAACATCATGTTTTAAACATATTTTTGATAATATATATATATATATATATATATATATATATATATATATATATATATATATATATATATATATATATATATATATATATATATATATAAACAGCTTGGAAAGGATGTGAGAAGAAGAAGGATGGGGCGGTAAAATTCTTGGAAGAGGATCTGAATGTGGCAAGAGAAGGCTTGAATGTTCGGTGGGTTGGCATGTTTTTGGTCATGGCTTGTGGCACACACTAGGGGCTCCCCCTAGTGGCTGGCACACACTAGGGCCCCCCTGGTGGCTGGCACACACTAGGGCCCCCCTGGTGGCTGGCACACACTAGGGCCCCCCCCTGGTGGCTGGCACACTAGGGGCCCCCCCTGGTGGCTGGCACACACTAGGGACTCCCCCTGGTAGCTGGCACACACTAGGGGCTCCCCCTGGTGGCTGGCACACACTAGGGGCTAACTTGGTGGCTGGCACACACTAGGGCTCCCCCCCTGGTGGCTGGCACACACTAGGGCCCCCCCTAGTGGCTGGCACACACTAGGGCCCTCCCCTGGTGGCTGGCACACACTAGGGCCCCCCCCTGGTGGCTGGCACACACTAGGCCCCCCCCTGGTGGCAGGCACACACTAGGGGCCCCCCTGGTGGCTGGCACACACTAGGGGCCCCCCTGGTGGCTGGCACACACTAGGGGCCCCCCTGGTGGCTGGCACACACTAGGGGCCCCCCTGGTGGCTGGCACACACTAGGGGCCCCCCTGGTGGCTGGCACACACTAGGGGCCCCCCTGGTGGCTGGCACACACTAGGGGCCCCCCTGGTGGCTGGCACACACTAGGGGCCCCCCTGGTGGCTGGCACACACTAGGGGCCCCCCCTGGTGGCTGGCACACACTAGGGCCCCCCCTGGTGGCTGGCACACACTAGGGGGCCCCCCCGGGTGGCTGGCACACACACAGCAAAACATTCAAACTTCTATATTTTATTTGTATAAGTTTATTTTTTTTAGACTTCCCCCTTACCTCTTACTCTTTTATATCTATACTATAACTATACCTATAATAGGTTAAGTAATAATTGTAATTACGAAGCAATAAGATGTTTATCTTAACATACTAAGAAGGTTAGGTAAGGTCGTTGTTTTCTATGAAGCTTTTCAAGGTAAACTAGTATGTTTAGTATAGTATGTCACATATGCACGTATTTAATAAGTCAATATTGACTATACGAAAGTGCGAGAACGGGTTGTTCCTTGCATAGCCATTTATTGGGAGAGTTTGCTCTAGAGTCGAGCCCCGTGATGATACCTGAGCTCTACCTGGTAGCCTCTCGAGAGTTGATCAGCGTCTTGGGGTAGAGTAGTTGCCGAGTGCTCTAAGAGGCTTATCTCTCGGGTGAGGCTTAGGGTCATCCCCCGTGTCACGTCTGTCTCTCAGCTCCGTCCACTGTCACTCATCGTGTATGCCTCTCCTTCACACATACACTTGATGTTATATACTTTATTCATCAGACTTTGATGAGCCATTCCTTGTGTGTAACACTGCCTCGGTAACCGTCTTCGTGGCTCCGGGGCACAGATCTCTCCACTTCACATCTTGTGACATAACATTATCATATCTATGTCCCTTTCCCAGACCCACTTGTGCTCTTAAGGTCGTCCACTCCGATAGTCTTAAGTGGCGCTCAGTGCTCGATCCCGCCAAACACACACCGAAACTACGACGTTGGTACAACGTTCGAACAAGTTGTAACACCTCCTAACCATTTATAACAACCAATATAGCAAGTTGTAACAGCGTTCTAATACGTCATAAACACGTTAATTCAAGATGTAACAACTTTATTACAAGTTGTAACAAGCGGAAAATAGAGACAGTTTCGGTTTGTGTTTCCAGGGTCACGCCTCTTGCTGTTTTGTAATTATAATTGCTAATTAGTTATCATATTTTGCCGCTCACAAGTTCCAGTAACATCTATATATTCACCTTGAGTTCATATATAGAATCTCTTCTCCACAATACCTTTAACTATTTTATGTTCACTTTTACCTGACTGTACCTGAGGGCCACTATATCTCTAGTGGCCTCAACCAGGACAGGAAACTGGCGGCTTGTCGAAGGTCCGGCCCATTTGTCCTGATGATTTTGTCGAGCTGGACTTTGTTATTCAACAGTTTTGGCATTTACGGCTTCGACGGGTAGGCGGTTCTATGGGTTTATAACTCATGGGTGAAAAAGCCTCTCCTGTTCTCAGTCCTACACTGTGGTTGCTGAGCTTGAAACCGTTGCTCCTTGTTTGTGTTACATCTGACCTTTTTTAAAACGTTGTCTGCCTCAATAGCCTCCAAATTGTTCAACATTTTTTAAAGTTTCAATCAGATCAGCCCTGTCATGTCTGATTTGCGTTTTCTTTCTGCAACTTCCACTGTTGTGCAACTTTCAGTCAATGGTGGATTCTGACTCATTTTCTTCGTCAGTCTGCTGCAAGCTTATGTTGTTCATGTGGTAGTTGTGTCATGCATGGTTCACATGCAAGGTCTTGCACTTTTCTATATTAAAAAGCATTGGCCAGCCATTTTTAGTTATTATCTCTGGCATGCATCTACAACAGTTTAAATGATCTCACAAATTTCCATTCAAGACTCCGTTGGAGTGACTGCGGCAGCTGTCTGTAAATAACTCGATATTTTTCCACTGATTAATCTAATGTTCCCACGCTGCCATAGGTCCACCAACATGTCTTGTAATCCCTGGTATATAAGCACCCTGGGAGACATTACTCGAACTAGCCACACTCCTGCCTACATCAAACTATTCACCAATCAGACCAATAACTCTGACTGCGTCCTCTGCTGTCTTGATAAGACTCACGGTTCAAGCTAAACATAGCACACAGTCCTCTGTTCACTCTCTTATATATACATTAAAACTACACACTACGTACTATGTAAAACACTTACATTTACTCGCCATACGTCAATCACACTTGAATTTAGTATGTAACGTGCAAACATTTACGGCTGATCACAAAACAACCAAGATGGTTCATTGTTGTGGTAATGTTTATGGTGGCCAGATGTGTACCTCGGTCTGATGAGTACGACTTTGCTATTGTGTTTTCTACCACAGATCGACGTAGCCACATGTTTACAATCCTAACCAGCATATATACATTTTCTTCTGTCCTCCATGGACAGGGTTAAGGCTCTGTTAAACATATAGTTCAGTGATTTATTAAACAATCAACCACAGAAGGTGATTGTAGTGTTTTTAAAATACTAATCTAACCTACAAACATAAATACACAGATTTACGTCCGTCCTACATAAACAGTGTTCGAGGTGTCTTTTTACATAGTGGCATTGACGTGCTTTTACAAAGATGAAATGCATTTACAAACAAAGGTTTACGTTACTGTGAGGCAGGCGGGAGTATGAGAGCGCGGGGAAGGACGTGGTTGTCCTCCACCAGTTCGTCAGAGGCAGGTACTGCCCCAACCTCAGCCCCTTCGCCCTCAAGCTCGAGGCCTTCTTCAGGCTCGCAAACATCAAGTATGTGGTGAGTACTGCTCTTGCCTCCCTTCCTTCTTTATTATATTGGACCTTAACCAAATTCATTGCATAGGATTGGTTATAATATTGGTTACATAGAAATTAGGTACAAAGAATTAAGAATGCTGTGTGCCGTTTCCCTTCTTTATTGCTACGCCGAGGCGCTGGGAAAAGTAGCTGGGAACTTTAGTTTATCTTGATGTCTCGATGACTATACAACCCACATCCTTGAGAAAACTATTGGCCCTCTTACCCCAGGCACCTGCAAGGGTCTCTGGAACTATGGGGGAAGAATTCTATTGATGACCCACTTCTCTGTATTTACGGAACTGGATTTATTTTCTGTGGATGGCATTATTACCTGCATGTCCAGCACCATATTCAGTGTAGGTATCAATCACGGCTGGATTACCTATGTAGACCTACAATAGCTACCTACCATTCTTCCAAGGTGCATTGTAATCCTGTCTGACCGACCAGCAGGATAGCAGAATTGGGTGACATTAAGAAACGAGGCTCTCTACTGGGCATCAAGCTATAAAGAAGGTCCACTTACTGTCGTAATTGACTTCACACTGCTTTGGCAGAACAAGCCATAGGGACGACATCCGTCAGTTTCTGCCTCGCCGCAAATGCACCGACAGTGTTGGCTGTGGCAGCAAGGCAGAAAACCACCACTATATGAAGGGTTTGTGGTTTGAGATTCTTTCCTGTAGCTGACATGGTGGTCGCTAATAGACAGTTACCTGCAGGGGAGACATCACCCCTGAAGCAAATTATCTTAAAATGTATTGGTGCACTATCAAGACACATTGCAGCTGCTCTGGTTGGAATGGAGGCCCATAGACTCAGCGAAAAATAACTAAAAATTTGAAACTTCGTAGGTTGTGTCCAATATATAATTCATTGTGTCGGGGGACAGGCAGCCAGAACCGTCAGGAGAAAGCACCAAATCACTACGACTATATAGCACTTGGAAGGGATCAAGATAAGGACTTGGGATAGGACGAGGAGAACGAATGGTGCCCAACCAATTTGACAGTCGGGGATTAAACGCCGACCTGCATGAAGCGAGACCGTCGCTCTATCATTATATTGATAAATTATGAATCTGGCCCAGCTAGGGCCAGATTCACAAAACAGTTACACAAGCACTTACGAACCTGTACATCTTTTCTCAATCTTTGGCGATAATTTTATTATCGTGTATGTGTGTATGTATATATATATATATATATATATATATATATATATATATATATATATATATATATATATATATATATATATATATATATATATATATATATATATATATATATATACACACACTAGATGTACCTGGCCACGCATGTTCGCTGCAGAGCCACAGCAACCTTCCCATGTTTTCCAGTCCTCCCCACCATTCCCCCCTCCTGCGTTCCCTCATCCTCCTAACCATTCCCCACTCCTCCATCCCCTTCGTCCTCCCTTCCATTTCCCCCTCCCCCTCCCCTGTCCCATCTTCCTCCCCACCATCCCCCCTTTCATGTCCCCCTTGCCCCAGTATATATCATAGATATATACAAAAGAATGGGGGTGGTAGGAGAAGATAATATTAGTGTTCAGTGAGAAACCACAAGGTCTCCTCTGAATACTTTTTATTTTCTTCTCCGCGGCTATGGGTCCCCACATTGGCACCAGAGGTGGTACCCTCACAAACTTTATATATATATATATATATATATATATATATATATATATATATATATATATATATATATATATATATATATATATATATATATATATATATATATATATATATATATATATATATACATATATATATATATATATATATATGTCGTACCTAATAGCCAGAACGCACTTCTCAGCCAACTATGCATGGCCCAATTTGCCTAATAAGCCAAGTTTTCATGAATTAATGTTTTTTCGACTACCAAACCTACCTAACCTAACCTAACCTAACTTTTTCTGCTACCTAACCTAACCGATAGAGATAGGTTAGGTTAGGTTAGGTAGGGTTGGTTAGGTTCGGTCATATATCTACATTAATTTTAACTCCAATAAAAAAACATTGACCTCATACATAATGAAATGGGTAGCTTTATCATTTCATAAGAAAAAAATTAGAAAAAATACATTAATTCAGGAAAACTTGGCTTATTAGGCAAATCTGGTCTTGCTTAGTAGGCTGAGAAGTGCGTTCTGGCTATTAGGTACGACATATATATATATATATATATATATATATATATATATATATATATATATATATATATATATATATATATATATATATATATATATATATATATGCGGAAAATCCACAGAGAAATATGAAATGAGGTGAACGTTTCGGCTTTGTTAAAGCCTTTGTCAACACCAGACTGACTAAGGAGAAGGGAGAAGGGGGAGGATATATAGGCCGACACCTGACCAACCCATCCCTAGGGTTGGTCAGGTGTAATTAACCAAAAACAGGTATAGCTTAGCTTAGAATGGTCAAAGAGGATTAAGCGGTCAGAGAATAAGGATGAAAGATTAAAGAAAAGCCTCATGAACACACAATATATGAATATACAATTATAATGAGACATTGTAAGCCTCTCTATCAGAGTTGTTTCTTAAACTGTTGTGCAATATTATAACTTAAAAATGGATCAAGTTTGTACATTCCAATACTAACATTAAGAAGATTTGGACACTGACTGATTAGAGCAGACTCAATCAAATTCCGTTCCACGAAATCCCCACAATTGGTAATACTTTTTGCCCCATTCCAGTTCCATGGGGCAAAAATGGAGCATGGGGTTCCTCATTTCATATTTCTCTGTGGATTTTCCGCATAAAATGATCAGTGTTTTGTGATCGTCAATTGCATATATATATATATATATATATATATATATATATATATATATATATATATATATATATATATATATATATATATATATATATATATATATATATATATATATATATATATATATATATATATATATATATTGTGCTGTATGGGTTACAGTTCTTACTATCTCAAACATGTGATCAAGTTACAAGGGAAAGTAATGTAATTACATTACTGTAGTTAGGGTATAGTTCATGGCCAAGAGACCAGCAGGGGACCTACTGGCTGATGTAGGCATAACCATCACATAAACAAAGGCGCATTCTAATTTGTCACTATTGTATGTTTAATGTAACTGCATAAGTATATTTTTGCAAATAACTAATTATGTGTAGATTTCTTAAATTTCCTGGTTTCTACCTTAATGCCTTTAGTAACAAACTGCTTTACCGAAACTCTTTATATAATCGATAAATCCCAAGCGCTGTGACAGATGACACTCATTGTGACCTAGAACACTCCATTGAGAACTTAATTGTCCGCCCACACGGGAGACATCTCCCGTCACGCAGGGTGCAGTCGCACCTCCACAGATCTCCAGTATCAGCTCTTGATACTGGTAATGGCTCAAAAGGGCCACCACTTACGGGCTATTCATGCCCGTGCCACCTTTTGGGTGGCTTAATCTTCATCAATCAATCAATCAATCGTCCGCCCTCGCCCCCAGGTGGACAGCCAGACCCCGTTTGGACCGAAGGGAAGGTGTCCGAGGATCACCATCAACGGGGAGGAGGTGGCCGACTCCGAGTTCATCCTGGAGCACTTGACCCACCGCTTCAACCTGGACCTCGACGCCCACATCTACCCCAGACAGGCAGCCGTTCTGGAGGCTGTTCGGGTCCTCGCCGACGAACACCTCTTCTGGTGGGTCTTGGTAAAGTGTTATACACATATCTTCATCATTGTAACCATCTTCACTAAGTGGTATAGACATATCCTCATCATTGTAACCATCTTCACTAAGCACTACAGTAATAATATAATAGTTTTGATAGGACAGGTTGGAAAGGATACAAGAAGGATGTTGGAGCTCTATGTAGGTCGAGCACTATGCCTAAAGCCACTAACATGCACAGCGTCTCGAGCATGTTGCTGAAAAACCTTAAAAACTAAAGACATAAAAACTAATAGGGAACAAATGCAAAAAACGAGCTAAAGTGGAGAAACATACAAAATTACAATAATTACATGACGATCGGTACAGCAGCAATTGCAACAAGTATTAATTTTCACTAAAAAAAATTGAAGTTATACTTTTATTTATTTTTACAAAGCTGATATCAGCAGCTTTACATGTTCAGTAATTAATGTTCGATAATAGTAAAACATGGGCTGATATTTAGGAAGTAAGGTTGGTTACTTTAGTCCATTAGGGAGTGAATAGTTTATCTCCTAAACTAAAGAGAGGGACAGTGACGTTAGGAAGGTCATTCCACATTTTGGGACTCTGATTTGTAGAACATTTCTGCTTATGGTTATTCACCATCTTCTTCACTGTAGCCATCTTCACCACACTGTGTTCATTACTGTAACCATCTGTCCTCTACTCACTGTCACCATGAATGACATGATCTTCAAACTAATGTAAGATAAAATCGGTGGAAAAGTGTGAATGACTATGTAGCACTTTTTGGGATGTGAGGACCAGGAGCTGAGATGTGAGGGCCAGGAGCTGGGATGTGAGGACCAGGAGCTGGGATGTGAGGACCAGGAGCTGAGATGTGAGGACCAGGAGCTGAGATGTGAGGACCAGGAGCTGAGATGTGAGGACCAGGAGCTGGGATGTGAGGACCAGGAGCTGGGATGTGAGGGCCAGGAGCTGGGATATGAAGACGGCGTGAAGGAACAGTGCCCAACCACTTGCACCATCGGGAAGAGATATGATTTTCAAATACACACAAATAAACAATATCTGACTCGGATATTTACATAATTATGCAAGTTACATTTTTGCCACCTAGCAATTGCAAACTAATTTCCAGTTGGTGATCATAATTTGTTATGTCAACATTTTTAAGTACTTTGAAATGAAATTCCGGTCACCAACGTCAAAATTGTCTTTGTGAAATGCACACATAAAACAAATACAATTTATTCTTGTTCATCAGCAACGTCAAGTTCAAGTTTATTGAGACAAGGAAAAAAAATACACCTAAAAGAGATAGAGTAGCTTAGGCTATTTCTACCTCCCCTCCCCTTCCCCCCCCCCCCCGTCCTCAGCAACATCATGCTGTGCTTGGTGTTGCTAGTCAACAACTATATCACATTTTATATGCCATAATTAATATGCCATTTATTATTGTCCCATATAAACTTGTCATGCCATGTTGGTAAATTATATTATTTCCAAGTACTGGCTTGATTGTATGATAGTTCATGATTGTATAGGTGCAATTTGATGGAACTTTTGTACAGAGGCGATAGAAGCACCAGTGGGATGTCAGTGGGCCCGCGTGTGAATAACAGTGGACGTCATATGACGCTCAACGTCCGCAAAGGGTTGACATACGTGGTGGAGGACGCTAATGCGGACGCTCAACGTCCGCATTAGAAAAGTATTATTATGATGAGACATAGATGTCATTGAAGACAGTGGCTGAAGATGACACCAGAGGTCACTATGACATTGTCCTGCATGTGTCACTGCCCTAAATACTTATTTTTCTTTCAGTTGCCTCAGTCACGTGTGGCCAGGCCGTACAAGTACACTCTTTGTTTACCCGTGCCTCACTGTCTTGCATGTGTGTCACTCTCTTGCAGGTGTGTGGTGGTGTGGCGGTACTGGCTGGACGGGAGTGTTACTTTCTTAAAATCACAGAACTTCAGTCTCTGCTTGCGCTTCGCCTTCTCCTTCATCGTGCCGCGGGGTATGAGGGACAGGGCCAGGCAGCACGGCATCGGCCTCCACACGCCCCTCGAGATCTACCAAATATGCAAGAAAGATTGTGAAACGTTAGCCGGAGTCCTGGGTGAGTGACTGGTCCCTGGGACACGGGAGCCATGTCCTGGGTGAGTGACTGGTCCCTGGGACATGGGAGCCATGGTCCTGGGTGAGTGACTGGTCCCTGGGACACGGGAGCCATGGTCCTGGGTGAGTGACTGGTCCCTGGGACACGGGAGCCATGGTCCTGGGTGAGTGACTGGTCCCTGGGACGCAGGAGCCATGGTCCTGGGTGAGTGACTGGTCCCTGGGACACGGGAGCCATGATCCTGGGTGAGTGACTGGTCCCTGGGACACGGGAGCCATGGTCCTGGGTGAGTGACTGGTCCCTGGGACACGGGAGCCATGGTCCTGGGTGAGTGACTGGTCCCTGGGACACGGGAGCCATGGTCCTGGGTGAGTGACTGGTCCCTGGGACACGGGAGCCATGGTCCTGGGTGAGTGACTGGTCCCTGGGACACGGGAGCCATGGTCCTGGGTGAGTGACTGGTTCCTGGGACACGGGAGCCATGGTCCTGGGTGAGTGACTGGTCCCTGGGACACGGGAGCCATGGTCCTGGGTGAGTGACTGGTCCCTGGGACACGGGAGCCATGGTCCTGGGTGAGTGACTGGTCCCTGGGACACGGGAGCCATGGTCCTGGGTGAGTGACTGGTCCCTGGGACACGGGAGCCATGGTCCTGGGTGAGTGACTGGTCCCTGGGACACGGGAGCCATGGTCCTGGGTGAGTGACTGGTCCCTGGGACACGGGAGCCATGGTCCTGGGTGAGTGACTGGTCCCTGGGACACGGGAGCCATGGTCCTGGGTGAGTGACTGGTCCCTGGGACACGGGAGCCATGGTCCTGGGTGAGTGACTGGTCCCTGGGACACGGGAGCCATGGTCCTGGGTGAGTGACTGGTCCCTGGGACACGGGAGCCATGGTCCTGGGTGAGTGACTGGTCCCTGGGACACGGGAGCCATGGTCCTGGGTGAGTGACTGGTCCCTGGGACACGGGAGCCATGGTCCTGGGTGAGTGACTGGTCCCTGGGACACGGGAGCCATGGTCCTGGGTGAGTGACTGGTCCCTGGGACACGGGAGCCATGGTCCTGGGTGAGTGACTGGTCCCTGGGACATGGGAGCCAAGGTCCTGGGTGAGTGACTGGTCCCTGGGACACGGAAGCCATGGTCCTGGGTGAGTGACTGGTCCCTGGGACACGGGAGCCATGGTCCTGGGTGAGTGACTGGTCCCTGGGACATGGGAGCCATGGTCCTGGGTGAGTGACTGGTCCCTGGGACACGGGAGCCATGGTCCTGGGTGAGTGACTGGTCCCTGGGACACGGGAGCCATGGTCCTGGGTGAGTGACTGGTCCCTGGGACATGGGAGCCATGGTCCTGGGTGAGTGACTGGTCCCTGGGACACGGGAGCCATGGTCCTGGGTGAGTGACTGGTCCCTGGGACACGGGAGCCATGGTCCTGGGTGAGTGACTGGTCCCTGGGACACGGGCCATGGTCCTGGGTGAGTGACTGGTCCCTGGGACATGGGTGGTCCTGGGTGAGTGACTGGTCCCTGGGACACGGGAGCCATGGTCCTGGGTGAGTGACTGGTCCCTGGGACACGGGAGCCATGGTCCTGGGTGAGTGACTGGGTGAATTATGTCTACTCACCTAATTGTGCTTGCGCGGGTTGAGCTTTGGCTCTTTGGTCCCGCCTCTCAACCGTCAATCAACAGGTGTACAGGTTCCTGAGCCTACTGGGCTCTATCATATCTACATTTGAAACTGTGTATGGAGTCAGCCTCCACCACATCACTTCCTAAAGCATTCCATTTGTCAACTACTCTGACACTAAACAAATTATAATGTTTCTATCGCTCATTTGGCCACTCAATTTCCACTTGTGTCCCCGTAGTGCGTATGCCCCTTGTATAAATTGTTTTTGTCTACCCTATCAATTCCTTTGAGAATCTTATATGTGGTGATCATGTCCCCGCTAACTCTTCTGTTTTCCAGCGATATGAGGTTTAATTCCCGTAGTCCCTCCTCGTGGCTCATACCCCTCAGTTCAGGTACTAGTCTGACGGCAAACCTTTGTACCTTCCCCAATTTAGTCTTATGCTTGGCTAGATATGGACTCCATGCTGGAGCCGTGTGTGTGTGTGTACTCACCTAGTTGTGTTTGCGGGGGTTGAGCTCTGTCTCTTTGGTCCCGCCTCTCAACCGTCAATCAACTGATGTACAGATTCCTGAGTCTACTGGGCTCTATCATATCTACATTTGAAACTGTGTATGGAGTCAGCCTCCACCACATCACTTCCTAGTGCATTCCATTTATTAACTACTCTGACACTGAAAAAAGGATAAGGATAAAAAAAGGAAAAAAGGAAAAGGATAATATATTCAACAAATACGTCAAAAACACAATAAACTACATCTGAAAGGTTAGGTTAAAGGGTTGGGGAATAAGAACATATGATAGAACCTACTAAATACACTAAGATTACAAGAGGTTAGGTTAAGGGGTTGGGGAATAAGAATAAATAATAACAAACATAATAAATACAACTTATGAGCAACTTGATGAACTTTAACAAATAACCCTTGATCTGCAAAAATGACCATTTGAGAAATTTGCCCTTGAAACGAGTAAATTCCCATATATATAACAAAAATCCTTTGAAATGGTTAAACACCCAATCTTAAACAAATAACACTTGAAATGCAAAAATGTCCATTTGAGAAATTAACCCTTGAAATGAGTAAATGAATATGAGACAATGATTGACGAAACACAAAAGACCAGCAGGAATAATTATGTAAGTTAGATCATGTCTGGTTGGACTAGATAAGTTAGGATACATCAGTTTGGGAATGTAAGATTAAGTTAGGTAAAGCAAGTTAGGTTACGTTAGGATAGGTAAGATAAGTTATGTAAGTTAGGTTGTGCAGGTTAAGTTAAGTAAGATAGGTAATGTAAGGTAAGTCATGTTAGGATAGGTAAAGTTAGGTTATGCAGGTTAAGTTAGGTACGATAGGTAATGGTAAGGTAAGTTAAGTTAGGATAGGTAAAGTTAGGTTTAGGAACGTTACGTTAACTAAGTAACATTGGGTGGAGAGGATAGGTTACGTAGGATTTGGGCAGTGTAGTTCTGAGAACAGTTTTAGGGTAAAGTGACTAAGAAAATATATTTTAACAGAAGTGCAGGTTTGGTATGAAAAGCTGAACTAGTTACATTTTGGAGAGAAATTTTATGACTGAAGATGTCTTGAAGAATAACATGATGGACGGAGAGTTTCTTTGATGAACGAAGGTGTCTTAGAGAACAACTTTTTGGTGAACGAAGGTGAATTAGAGATCTCTTTGATGATTCTGAGAATAACTTTGATCAACGAAGATGGATTGGAAAGTTTCTCTAGTAGGCAAAGGTGCCTTAGAGATTAACTTTTATGATTTAGAGAACAACATTGATGACCAGACCACACACTAGAAATTGAAGGGACGACGACGTTTCGGTCCGTCCTGGACCATTCTCAAGTCGATTGTGAATCGACTTGAGAATGGTCCAGGACGGACCGAAACGTCGTCGTCCCTTCAATTTCTAGTGTGTGATCTGGTCAACATACTTCAGCCACGTTATTGTGACTCATCGCCTGCAACAACATTGATGTCTTAGAGATTAACTTTTATGATTTAGAGAACAACATTGATGTCTTAGAGAACAACATTGATGTCTTAGAGAACAACTTTGATGAACAAAGATGTCTTAGAAAGCTTCTCTGATGAACGAAAAGTTACTTAGCGAATAACTTTGATGACTGTATTTAACTTTTTTGATGGCTCTGAGGACAGTTTTGTTGAACGAGGATGTCTCAGAAGGCTTCTTTGAATAACGAAGGTGAGTCTGAGAATAACTTTTGATGACTCTGAGAATGACTTTGTTGTCTTAGAGAATAACTTTGAGAGCTTAGAGAATGTCTTTGATGAACGGAAGGTTACTTAGAGAATAACATATCATGACTGAGAATAACTTTTGATAGCTCTTAGAATAACTTTGATGTCTTAGAGAATAACTTTAGATGACTCTGAGAATAACTTTTATGAACGAAGATGTCTGAGATTAACTTTGACGTCTCTTGGAATAACTTTTGTGGACATGAGAATATCTTTGGATAACTCTGAGATTAACTTTGATGTCTTTGAAACAACTTTGATGAACGAGAGTGAGTTAGAGATTACCTTTGTTAACTCTGAGATCAACTTTGATGAACAAAAGTGAGTTAGAGATTACATTTGATAACACTAAGATTAACTTTAGATGTCTCTGAGACACACTTTTATAACATAGAAATTAACTTTAATGACCAAAAGTGAGATAGAGAATACCTTTGATGACTCCGAGAATAACTTTGATGAACAAAGATGTTTTGGAAAGTTTCTCTGAAGAACGAAGGTGAGTCCGAGAATAACTTTTGTTAGCTCTTTGAATAACTTTGATGACTTTGAGAATGTCTTTTGAGAACATGAGTAGTATTTTGGTAACTCAGAGAATAACTTTGGTGACTCTGAGAAAATCGGTGATGACTTTGAGAATGACTTCTGAGAACATGAGTAGTATTTGAATGAGTCTTTGATGTAATGAAGAGTAACTTTGATGTCTCGAAGATATCTTGCAGATCAACTTTGATGACAGAGATTAACTTTTGTTGTTTTAGAGATTAATTTTGATAGCTGCGAGAATAACTTTAATGAATGAAGATGTGTTAGAAAGTTTCTCTGATGAACGAAAGGTTACTTAGAGAATAACATTTTGATGACAGATTAACTTTTTAATGACTCTGAGAATAACTTTAAGGATGCGAGTAAATTTTTGAGTGTTTGAGAATGTCTTTTGATATCTCGAAGAGTTCCCCTTGAAGTCTTAAAGGATGTCTTTGATGTCTCAAAGGATGTCTTTGAGTGCAACTTTGATGTCTTTGAGTAAGTCCTTGATGTCTCGAAGAGTGACTTTGACTATATTTCTTACTTAACGACATATAATTTTAGTTAGGAACAATGATGAATATGACTATTTTAGCAAAGTGAAAGGCTACTTTAGTTAAGAACAGTGTTGGAAAGAGGCTACACATGACTATTTCAGATGAGAGAAGTGATATTTCAGTTAAGAAATGACAGGGAAACATGATGAAGTAACTATTTTTTATTTGACTGATGAATACTTGTAGTTAAGGAAAAAGACAAAACATGACGAGGGAGACTATTTTTGTGCTCCCCAAAGTATAATGTCAGTTAAGAACAGTGATGAAAGATATCTTTGTTTATTTTTTCTTACTTGACAAAACATAATTTTAGTTAGGAACAATGATGATGAATATGACTTTTTCTGTTGATTGATGGATAATTTTAGTTATGAAATGACAATGAAACATGAAGAACACGGTTATTTTTCTGATGACTAGGGAATAAGTTTAGTTGAGAAATGAGGAAAGTGACTATGTTTTAGTTGATTGGCGAAAGATTTTTAGTTAAGAAGTTACAAGAAAGGTTTATCTTTGTAAATTTGGAACTGAATAAAGTGTAGATTTGTTTAAGAACGGGGTTGGTAGAAATATTAAGTTGATGACGAGAATTACTTTGACATAGTTTTGTAAATAAAACTTGGTGACTAAAATTGTTGAGGGAACTGTATTGCAGTATAATATTATTTGACAAAGAACTAGTTAGTGAATGGAAGAAACAAATTGGTTTAAAGAAACAAAGAACATAAAAAAATTTGAGGTGTAGTAGGGGAATGAACACAGTGAACATACGGTGAACGCAGAAAACATGTAAGAAAAAGTTGATGAATAGAGTGAACATGCGGGGAATATGAACTTATAGAGAATATGAAGACATGATAAGGAACATAGGGAATACAAGAATGAACACTGAACATGTGAAGAACAAGCTAAGAATTGAAATCAACTATTTTTTCACCTATTATGCTAACACTAGTCTCTGTTTTTTTTTCTGTTGGATCAAACGATTGCTAATGGTTGATGATGAGTGAAAACTCGCGCTATGGAAAGACTCAAGGTCAGTCCCTAACGAGATGCGCCGAGACGGAATGAGTAACCACGCTTACATTTTCAAATGTTATAAGAACTGAAAAACAGACTTAACCCAGCTCATCCGGACTGTTTACATTGGATAATGTAGGTCTTAAGAGAGAGAGAGAGAGAGAGAGAGAGAGAGAGAGAGAGAGAGAGAGAGAGAGAGAGAGAGAGAGAGAGAGAGAGAGAGAGAGAGAGAGAGAGAGAGAGAGACAGAGATAGAGAGACAGAGAGATAGAGAGACAGAGAGACAGAGAGAGACAGAGAGACAGAGAGTGTGTTGAACTCGGGATAATGAACAAGTCAATTTAATAATAGTAACAAGATTGTGTTTTTCCATATTATCGCATATATGCATACTTTGCTTGCAAGATT